GGCTTAAAATCTCGTAATAATTAGAAACTTTCTCGTAATAATGAGAAACTTTCTAGTAATAATGGCTTAAAATCTCGTAATAATTAGAAACTTTCTCGTAATAGTGGCTTAACATCTCGTAATAATGAGAAACTTTCTGTTAATAATGAGAAACTTTCTTTTAATAATGAGAAACTTTCTAGTAATAATGGCTTAAAATCTCGTAATAATTAGAAACTTTCTAATGGCTTAACATCTCGTAATAATGAGAAACTTTCCAGTAATAATGGCTTAAAATCTCGTAATAATTAGAAACGTTCTTGTAATAGTGCATTAACATCTTGCAATAATGAGAAACTTTCTTTTAATAATTAGAAACTTTCTCGTAATAATGGCTTAACATCTCTTAATAATGAGAAACTTTCTCGTAATAATGAGAAACTTTCTCGTAATAATGAGAAACTTTCTAGTAATAATGAGAAACTTTCTAGTAATGGCTTAAAATCTCGTAATAATTAGAAACTTTCTCGTAATAGTGGCTTAACATCTCGTAATAATGAGAAACTTTCTTTTAATAATGAGAAACTTTCTAGTAATAATGGCTTAGCATCTCGTAATAATGAGAAACTTTCCAGTAATAATGGCTTAAAATCTCGTAATAATTAGAAACTTTCTCGTAATAATGAGAAACTTTCTAGTAATAATGGCTTAAAATCTCGTAATAATTAGAAACTTTCTCGTAATAATGAGAAACTTTCTCGTAATAGTGGCTTAACATCTCGTAATAATGAGAAACTTTCTTTTTAATAATGAGAAACTTTCTTTTAATAATGAGAAACTTTCTCATAACAATTATTTTCACTTCTATGGGCTTCCATACATTACAATTTGACTTATTATGTGCCAGGAGAAAATCCAAAGTCCAGTTTCTTAGAAAAATACAAGTAACGAAGTAAGAATTAAGGACTCATTGATGCCGTTCACAGCTCTTATGTATTTTTCTTGAGTTTAACACGTACAAGTTTTTACTGTATTTGCATTGGCCCGCCTGTGCTTTCCTCTCACCAGTTTGTGTTCATAAGATCTGCACAGATGCAGTTTTCATCTGAAGGAAAATAAATTAGATTAGATGGTCATCTATGCTAAACACAGGCTCATGAAATTGATTTTTCCCTGACAGGCGATTTCAGTAAACTGAATTAGCTCAGTTGATGACGATAGTGTGTGTGTGTGTTTTGTATTGAGATCCAGCTTGATAAAGTCTCTTGAGGTCAGCGAGGTGGTTAAGTCAGATGTAAAACCCTCTATGCATTAGTTTTGGCCGAAACAGATTATGGATTGTGTGTGTTTTGATGAACACAAGCGGGGCTCATACTTCTCTTGGACTGACCGCTGGATAAATGCATCAGCAGGAATAACACAGCATTGTTGTGTTGCCAAATGTCCTCCGTGATTGAGCTAAAGCACAGGCATTTCAGGCAAACATTTTTCACTTTGGCCATTTTTGATTTTGCTCTTAACTCCTTCATGTGCAACTATTTTATAGTTTCATCCTGCACTGTCAAGTCATCTTTATTTATATAGGGCTTTTAACAATGTAGATTGTACCAAAGCTGCTTTACAGCGAAAATGGGAAATTACAGTAACAGAGATTGTTTCGGCTTTATGACAGCTCTAGAATAAAGTTATTGTCCAGCTAAAGATAGTTTTAATTGGTTCACTTCCGTCGCAAGGATCATAAGGGTTAATGCCCGATGAGGTGTCCATTGTCGGACGGTTGCCTCCTCCGCCGAAGTCCATTAATACCTAAACAATGCATGCCTTGAAGGGCATTAGCCTGCTTATACCATGGTCACTCTCCAAATAACACATTTTTAATATGTTATAGTTTATATTTTAATTAGTTTTACAATTGAAATCTAAAATTTTTGCAAACATTAACTTGGTTTCCCTGGTTACACCAGACGGGTTATTTCAGTAGCACCTCAATGCAGTACACGAGATCCAGGGGGCGGAGTTAGATCCAGATCTAAGGGGTGGAGATGGGTGGGATTAGGGATCAGGGGGTTGAGATGGGTGGGATTAGGGGTGGGGTTAGAGATCAGGGGCAGAGATGGGTGGGGTTAGGGATCGGGCGGAGATGGGTGGGGTTAGGGATCAGGGCTGGAGATGAGTGGAATTAGGGTGGGGTTAGGGATCAGAGGGTGGGATTAGGGTGGGGTTAGGGATTAGAGGGTGGAGATGGGTGGGGTTAGGGATCAGGGCTGGAGATGAGTGGGATTAGGGTGGGGTTAGGGATCAGAGGGTGGGATTAGGGTGGGGTTAGGGATCAGAGGGTGGAGATGAGTGGGTTTAGGGATCAGAGGGTGGAGATGGGTGGGATTAGGGTGGGGTTAGGGTGGGGTTAGGGATCAGGGCTGGAGATAAGTGGGATTAAGGATCAGAGGGTGGAGAGGGGTGGGATTAAGGATCAGAGGGTGGAGATGGGTGGGATTAGGGATCAGAGGGTAGAGATGAGTGGGATTAGGGGTGGGGTTAGGGTTCAGAGGGTGGAGATGGGTGGGGTTAGGGATCAGAGGGTAGAGATGAGTGGGATTAGGGTGGGGTTAGGGTTCAGAGGGTGGAGATGGGTGGGGTTAGGGATCAGAGGGTGGAGATGAGTGGGATTAGGGGTGGGGTTAGGGATCAGAGGGTGGAGATGGGTGGGATTAGGGATCAGAGGGTAGAGATGAGTGGGATTAGGGTGGGGTTAGGGTTCAGAGGGTGGAGATGGGTGGGGTTAGGGATCAGAGGGTGGAGATGAGTGGGATTAGGGTGGGGTTAGGGATCAGAGGGTGGAGATGGGTGGGTTTAGGGATCACAGGGTGGAGATGGGTGGGATTAGGGGTGGGGTTAGGGATCAGAGGGTGGAGATGAGTGGGATTAGGGGTGGGGTTAGGGATCAGAGGGTGGAGATGGGTGGGTTTTAGGGATCACAGGGTGGAGATGGGTGGGATTAGGGGTGGGGTTAGGGATCAGAGGGTGGGATTAGGGATCAGAGGGTGGAGATGAGTGGATTTAGGGATCAGAGGGTGGAGATGGGTGGGATTAGGGGTGGGGTTAGGGTGGGGTTAGGGATCAGGGCTGGAGATAAGTGGGATTAGGGATCAAAGGGTAGAGATGAGTGGGATTAGGGGTGGGGTTAGGGATCAGAGGGTGGAGATGGGTGGGATTAGGGATCAGAGGGTGGAGATGAGTGGGTTTAGGGATCACAGGGTGGAGATGAGTGGGATTAGGGGTGGGGTTAGGGATCAGAGGGTGGAGATGAGTGGGTTTAGGGATCAGAGGGTGGAGATGGGTGGGATTAGGGGTGGGGTTAGGGATCAGAGGGTGGAGATGGGTGGGATTAGGGATCAGAGGGTGGAGATGAGTGGGTTTAGGGATCACAGGGTGGAGATGAGTGGGATTAGGGGTGGGGTTAGGGATCAGAGGGTGGAGATGAGTGGGTTTAGGGATCAGAGGGTGGAGATGGGTGGGTTTAGGGATCACAGGGTGGAGATGGGTGGGATTAGGGGTGGGGTTAGGGATCAGAGGGTGGGATTAGGGATCAGAGGGTGGAGATGGGTGGCATTAGGGGTGGGGTTAGGGATCAGAGGGTGGAGATGGGTGGGATTAGGGGTGGGGTTAGGGATCAGAGGGTGGAGATGGGTGGCATTAGGGGTGGGGTTAGGGATCAGAGGGTGGAGATGAGTGGGTTTAGGGATCAGAGGGTGGAGATGGGTGGGATTAGGGATCAGAGGGTGGAGATGGGTGGGATTAGGGGTGGGGTTAGGGATCAGGGGTGGAGACAAAATAAATGGGTCTGTGTACTTAATTAATTAAAACTTAACTTTATATATTTTGTGGGATTATGGGCTTCGTCACTTTTGAAGGCATTAAAAAGTTGGCCATAAAAGACCATATTCAATCATTTGTCTTAATCCATCACTGGAGATTTCTGAAATGCATGGATAAATGGTTGGGTTGCTGTGTGAAGTCAGATAAAGACGGGCGAGTTTAAACCCGTGTTCCTCCACAGTGGGTGTGTCTGTGGGAATGCGGATCTCTCCATTTACTCAAAGGCTTTGCTGTTCTGGAAGTGTGTGTGTGTGTGTGGCAGCAACTCCGGTTCAGATGTGATGGGAGTTTTATGATTAAGTGCAAAATCAATCTTTTTAAAAAAAAATGTCCTTGTGTTATTCGGAAAACCTGTGAAATATACTGGCACAAATTTGCACGGAAAATGGTGGTCCCACACAATTATTAGGGAATTTGTGTGGGATATAAACAGAAAAAGGAAAATTCTCCCACTTTCACTTTCCTTTCAGTTCCTCCGTCATGTACATGTACAGGTGAGTCGCCCGTCATAAAGTGTTCGGTCAGTGACTGCAGTGTATGCTACTTCCATAAATGGTGTTTTGTGAAGGAGGTGTGTCTGGAGGCTTTGAGAAGTATGAGGAAGTTTGTATATAACACTGATAAATATAATAAGTGCAGTAAACGCTGAATGATTAAACTCAGATTATCACTGATTCATAAATTTAAGGTTGTACTGGAACACCCTGAAATATCACAGATTGACATTGACTTGGAAAAGACTGAAATAACAAGTAGTTTTTGAGCTTGCAATCAGATTTTATTTGCCAGTTTGGAGAATATACACTGATAAAGTCTTCATGTCTTGCCTACTGTACATTAATACGTTTTAATGAATTATAATCTGTTTTGCTGGCTACTAGTGGCAATATAACGCATAGTGGTCTTTCATTCTGCAGTTTTTACCTTTTTACCATTTATTTTAAGCATCTGATGATGTTGTGCGGGGCTGTCGCCTATAGAAACACTAAAGCCATTAAACCCATGCAGCTAAACTAAGTAACTCCACTTAAATGACTTCCTTTTCCAGTTGCATCCAGTTCAGTCCAGTGCAGTGTAAACACAGACAGGAGCGGGGTCTCGGAAGGGGTCCGGAGACTCTATAGTGATCGTGAAATGTGGGCGTACATGCAAACATTACGTGCGCGCTCAGTAGAACACACTGCAATCTGAGCGCACATGCCTTCAGAGTGTGTTTTGAACACATTCGATGTAAACTTGCCTGTAGCTGAGACATTATGCACAAGAGGAACAGCGCTGTCACGTACTTCACGGCCGAATTCCCGCCCACTTCGCGCGGGTTCTCTCTCTCTGTGTGTGTGTGATAGGCGTGATCGTGGCATGAAATCTAGGAGTTTGTGTCCACACACACACAGAGAGAGACTTGCTCAGGTAAGAGCTGAACTTCTTTTCTCGTGTCTCGAGCTTCTGTTTCACTCTGACACACTGTTGCGCGCGCGTGGAATGTTACATTTGTAGCGGGTTCTGAAGTTTTAGAACGTTCGACAAACCGCTACGACGCGTCAGTGGGCAGTGATACAATGTGTCCGCGTGTGCAGTGATACAATGTCGCCTCAGACGCGCCGTTTAAAAGTTTCTCTTCTCTTTTTAAATGCAATAGATGAAGGGATGAATGCGAGAACTGTCAAGTATGTGTCTCATACGAGAGTTTGTGCTGTCTCTCTTTGTGTGTGTGTGTGTGTGTGTGTGTGTGGAGGGGTGTGTTTTAAATGAATCTCTGTAGCATTGAGAGTAAAGGCTGCCCTCTTGCATTCATAGAGCTGTCATGTTTGAAACTAGTAGATTTTTCTTGCCCAGTCAACTTTAACTGAGTCCACCCTGCCCCACATTTAAAATATTTTTTTGTTAACACTTATTTTACAGTGTCTTTGTTACATATGTTGCATGTTGTTACTAATCTACGCATAATTACATGGAACTAACACATAATCCTAAACCTGAATAATGTAGTTAATTAATATTACTTAAACATATAATTACACTGTAACAAGTCATCTTAAAATTGAAGTGCAAGCAAACAATTGCCTGTTTTTCAGTACACGTTAAGTTGTCTTCACAAATAAGTGATTTAAAATCTGTTTTTAATTTGCAAAAACAGCTGACATCTTATTATGCTACTCCATGACAGCTCAACTCAAGATTCGAATTGCTTTTTGGCATGGTCAAAAAAGGCTTTAAATTGCCATGGCATTGGTAACATCAATATCAGATGCACATTTACACACAAATGCTTTGAAATGGTGGTCTGAAACATGACTTTCTTTACAGAAATTTAATTTGTTCTTGTTTTTTTTTTAGTGGAATTTGGCTTTTTGGAAGGAAACGGCAGAGAATCGGTGGTTGTGTGTTCCCATGAGCACCTGTGGAGTATTTTACTTTCCCTTTCCTGTAAATCAAAGCTCATCCTATTAGTCAGCTTGTAGCCGGAGATCAAGGTTGTGTGTGTCAGCGGGTGAGAGCGGCGCGGGTGAGCAACTCAAAGCAGCATGTGTTGCCATGGGTGTGTACATGCGCGCACACACACATGATTAAATCACATGATTTAACTTTTGTTTGCGCTCACACGGGTGTGTGTGTGTGTTGTGTTTTAGAGCATGTGACCGTGACGGACTGCAATAATAACCTGTGTGTTTCTTGTCCTATATGTGCATGTTCAGGCCTGTCAACTTTGACTTCTATTCTATTGAATTTTGCAAGTATTGAGCAGGAAAAACGTCAAATGCTGAACATTCCTCAGAAAGGGTTGCGAAAGGCTTTCGATCGGAGCAGAACTGATCGCTAATATTAACACTGATGTGTGTGCTTTCTGCTCGGATGAGCAATAATCAAGAAATAAAATGCACGCTTAATACTAGAGATGTGCAAAACTGCACAACTTTCACTCAATGGACTGGTTTTAAATGTAATTTCTGAAGGGTCATGTGACACTGAAGACTGGAGTAATGATGCTGAAAATTCAGCTTTCATCCCAGGGATAAATTGCATTTTAAAACAAGTGACAATGTTTATAGATCTGTCATCATAACCCCATTGAAGAGACGATTTGGACAAACCCTATTTGACCTCACTGAGGCTGTTGATCTGTGTTTTGACGTGTGCTCTTCTTTCTTCCAGACTGCGTGTCTCGTGAGCTGTCGCTGTGAGGTGCGAGACCCGTCGTGGAGAGGAGAGCTGGCGCTAAGCAGTCGAGACTAAAGAAAAGCACACCTGCCGAGAAAATGGTGAGTGATGTGAATGTCAAAAGAACAGCGACGCAAACACACCTTATGAGGTGCAAGTTAAAGAAAAAAAAATTCCCCTCTCTCGTCCAGAGCTCTTTTGGTCACAGAAAAATTTTACTTTTTTTTTTTTTTTTTTTTTTTTTTGAACACACAAAAAAAATTATGGACATGATTGGAAAAGATTAAATCTTCCTGTAAATAATACTCACACTTCTCATGGTCAAAAATGAGCACATTGGAAATAAATGAGAGATTAATTTAGTCTAGTGGAAACTTTTGGTACTGCGGCCAAACAAAATCTCCTTGAAAGCTCATTGAAGATATCAAGCTCAAATTTTGAAGACTTGTTTAGATTTATGGCTTTGATTTGCTTGCAGTGTTAGAATAAAACGTGATTTTGACAATAATAATTTCATAACAAAATTGAAAATGGTACATTCTAAAAAATGATGGGTTGTTTCAACCCAAATTTGGGTCAAATATGGACAAACCCAAATGTTGGGTTAAAAATGTAATTAAATTATTATTATTATTATTATTTTGAGTTTGTCCATATTTGACCAAAATTTGGGTTGAAACAACCCAGCATGTTTTTTGTGTGTGTTTTTGTGTGTTTTTGTGTGTTTTTCATAATGCACCGCAAAATTGTTACTTTTAAGTTCACTTTTTAAAAACTTTTTTTCACATCTGCAATAATCTGCCAAGTTTTGTCTTTGAAGAAAAAAAAGAGATCAAACTTAAATCTGTTGTTCAAGATTAATGCTCAAAAAGAGAATTAATGGATTATAAATAGAGTGTAAATATAATTTTGTATAAAAAAAATCCCCTAAAAATACAAAATGAAGAGTTCAGATGCAAAAGCCTCTAAGTGCCATTTGAAATTTTCTTCTAAATTGATCATTTTTATCAAGCTTGTATATTTAAGTTCAGTAATTTCACTTAAATGGCAATGAAGATTACCTATTAATTGTCATTTAAGTGAAATTACTGAACTTAAATATACAAGCTTGATAAAAATGGTCATTTTAGAAGAAAATTTCAAATGGCATTTAGAGGCTTTTGCATCTGAACTCTTCATATATATATATATATATATATATATATATATATATATATATATTAATGTCTGTATTTTCTATGATACTGATATATTACATAAAAACATTATCGAACTAAAATATAGTACATTAATTTCATTGACGACAAAAAATAAATTCGGTAATTTGACCCACACGTGAAAAACACAAGAAGCAGCGTTTCGACACAAGTCCATCATCATGAAGTCTGCAGAGTGTCTTTTTCCTCAGATTTAGGTTAGTAATATGACATTTTGGTCTCTTTTTGTGAGCTGTTGCACATTTCCAAGGGTCACCCGAGAATAAACCTACAGTTGATTTGGTTCGGTACATTTTGTGTGCATCAGATCCATGCATGCCTTGGCGCTGTGGCCTCCGCGGGCCGGGGCAGATGGGAACGAAAAGGAAAGAAATGCCTTTGGGCTGCAAGTTCAAGCCAAAACATCTGTCACCTTTATGAAACAACCCTTCCTTTATTGGCAGATCAAAACGCAGTGAAGACTGATGTGTGTCTCTTTAGATTGCATGTTGTGTTTTGGACTCAAGTCTGACCCCGCGTTATTAGCGGCTATGATGACTTGCTTTCCGTTCTCTTCCTGTTTTTCACTTTCTGCTCTTCCCCATAAACCCCCATGCTGGAGTGAACAGATGTTGGGAAGGTCTTTGATGTTTGCATGCACATGTTTAAAAAAATTTGGAAGAATATTGATACCTGTACACGTCTGCTCTTAAACGCTGACATATTTGGACATACATTCATATATTACCACTTTTTGGCCAATCAGGGAACACTAACATCACTGTTAGTTCTTATAGTGCTGGTTTAGACCCGAGCTAATTTAGTTCCTCCAAAAGAGTTCCTAGAACTAAAATCTTTCCTGCGGTTCGAACATGACAAAATCGGAGTACTTCCGCCAATAGTTTTAGGAACTATGAAAAGGTTCCTCGATGTGAAAGTCCCTTTGGTCCTAAAACCATGAACAATTCTCTTGTATAAAGCCATGATAGACTTCAGGGCCAACTTAACCCCTTAACGGTGACTTGCCCGTATACGGGCAATCTAAATTTACTTCACTATATTACTATTAAATCCTAATCTAGTCATGACAAACTATATATCGTTGGAAAGGTCTAAGACTCCTAAATAGATATTTTAGCGCTGTTTCTTACTTACAAATTATGAATGAACAGTAATATATGAATTTATGACAAGAGTGCGCCTCAAAAAAATCAACGTCATTACAAGAGTTTCTGATCTTTGTCACAAAAAGTCGACGCACACACTTTTAATAATTAAAACTTTGTTTTTTCTTTTTAGTGCTAAAAGTTCATAATAAAACATAATTAGTATTTGTCAATAAAAAAAGATAAAATTATATTTTAAAAAGTAAGGTAAGAAGTCCTCTGATAACTACTAAAATGATAACTACTAAAATATGTGATATAATAATAAAATAATAAAAAAAAAAAATATATATATATATATATGAAGAGTTCAGATGCAAAAGCCTCTAAGTGCCATTTGAAATTTTCTTCTAGAATGATCATTTTTATCAAGCTTGTATATTTAATTTCAGTGATTTCACTTAAATGGCAATGATAATTACCTATTAATTGTTATTTAAGTGAAGTCACAGAACTTAAATATACAAATTTGACAAAAATCATCATTAAAGAAGAAAATTTCAAATGGCATTTAGAGGCTTTTGCATCTTAACTCTTCATATATATATATATATATATATATATATATATATATATAAAGTATATAATTTTTTTTTATTATTATATCACATATTTTAGTAGTTATCATAAATTAGGTATCATTTAAAAGCTTACGAACGAACTCAGAATTCATCCTGTGAAAACCGTTTTGAAATTGGACGTTGCGTTACCATAGAAACGGTATTTTTTTATTAGGCCCCTCCCCTTTTGGGCATCATCTTTCATAATTTATTATCAAAACCTTTTCTAATCTTGACAAAACACATATTGTCAGAAGGGTCTGAGTCTCAAGGTTCCATATTTAGTTACAGAAGTGATATTTGGATAGAAATGTATTAATTTGTTATGGCAAAATGCATACAATTAAATTCAATGGAATTCAATGGCACCCGGTGGCTATTTTTGGTATAACGCCTAAACAAAATCTCATGGGAACTTCGAAATTTGTGATATCAACTTTAAATTTGGAACACAACTTGGTTAGATATATAGCTTTCATTTTATAGTAAAAAATATTTTGTAAAATATTTATTTTATATTAATAAATTATATTTGATTTACTGTAAATTATAACTTCCATAACTTTTTCATACTTTAATTTTTTGAAGTGCTTTCACTTCAGTAATAATCTGCTGATTGTTTTCTTTAAAACAAGGGTATATATTTCATATATATGGTATATAGGGTATATATTTCGTATATATATAACAAACTTGGGTATATATTTCAAAGCATTCTTGAATTACAACCATTTAAGTTTGTATAGTGCATTTTAATGTCAATTATCAAAACAGGTAAGGGGCTAAGTCTGTTTCTCTAGAGCATTGATTCAACCACAGTTTAAGTTGGAAATTAATTTTTCAGGTCAATGCTAAAAATACAATCCCCTAAAAATACAAAATATTATAAAAAAACAAACATTATCAAGCTGAAATATAGTACATTCAATTCATTGACCCACACGTGAAAAACACAAGAGGGTTAAACATGTTTATTAGCAGTGTTTCGACACAAAGGTGATGTGAGTCCATTATGAAATCTGCATAGTGTTTTAATACAATTACACGTTTTTTTTCTCTGATTGATGTTAGTACAATGACATTTTGGTCGGTTTTATGAGGGTCACCTGAGGATAAACCTACAGTAGTGCTTGAGTGCTTCTTCAGATCCCTGTGTAGGAAAGGTGTTTTCAGTGTGGTGTCACCAGAACTGAACATCATAAATCATTCGGCTTGAGGAACTCAAGTACTTGTGGATGTTTTTTGGACTTGTGATTTAACTTTATTCACAGTTTCTCTGGTTGTTTTTTCCATTATGAAGGATGTGGCGCTCCGAGCGAGTGAACGGGTCCCCTCGGCGCTCATTAAACACTTAGTGCGGTCCGTAAACAAAGCAAGGCTTGTGCCTCATTTTCCTTGCGCCCGGTTGTAAACCTCTGTGTTTGCGAGTGTGTTGCATTACAGCCCATCCAGAGCCGAGCTCGTGCCAAGAGCTGCTCATACACTCTCAGTAGAAGCCGTGCTGGTGTCTCATTGCAACGGGATCAGAACCACGCCCTTTAGTTTTTCTAATAACTAATTGGTGTGTGTGTGTGTGAGCTTATATGGGAAAACTGGGCCTGATGCCGGTTTTGTGTTCTGGTTGAGTGGAGATGGTCAATGGGTCTCACTGGCCCGTTGCGACCAGTTTCCATTGCACTATTTAATAGGTATCGCAATACAAAAATGCATCAATATGTATTGTGAAATGTGAATTATTTTTTTACATTTTTTTTAAATTGAATTTTCATATAATACAAATATAACAAAACATCAACCACGCCCAAAAATAAATAAATAAAATAAAATAAAAACTCAGATTTTTATATAAAACAGGACCGTACAATAAGGCAGATTTGTGTAATACAATAAAATAAATAGCAACAACATTAGATAATATATAACATGCATAAAATAACAATTACAAAAGATAAAGAGAGTGACAAAATAAGTTTAAATGTCCAGAAAGTTACAATGTTCCTTGTAATAAAATAGGGTGAAGAGAAGGTTCCAAAGCGTCCAGATATGGGGACCAGACTTTGTAAAACTGGCCTGTTTTGAAATGTAAAATATTATTATTTTTTTAATTCAGTTAGATTGAAACAAAAGCTGTGCAAAAAAAGAGGATGGTAACCTCGGCTTTCTCCACAGACAACATGAC